AGCACACTACCAGCACCCTCACACACCTAACACATTAACAGCACTTCCGAAATTCGGGACTTTGGCAAATCAGGACTTTGACACTTTGTGACTTTGGGAATTCGGCAGTTACCTAACCCTAACCCTACCCCTAACCCCAACCCTAACCCAAACCTTATCCCAGGGTTTGGGTTAGGGGTAGGGTTTGGTTAGGAAGCATCTGAATGTCCAAATTGCCAAAATTCGTCTGAATTTAAATTCGGACCGAAACTAATTGCACATGTCTAGTTTCTGCTTCTGATGAAGACTGACTCTGGTACGGCGGTCAAGTAAAGTGAAACTTAACAGCTAAATTTACAATTTATGTTTCTTTTAATGTATTAAATAAGAAGCCAGTCGGAGCTCTTTCTTATGTATTTTTTCTCACTCACTAAAAGGAAATATAATGTAAACTTAAAACTTGGTATGCTGTGATATCCTCCAAACATAAGGTTATCAAAAGACCAAAACTGGTTACAAAAGCTCCACTATTTTGTGCCTTAGAAGCACATCCTTGCGGGCATGTCCTGGTGCTTGGGCAAGATGGACGCTTAGATCGACTGCTCCCGCCACCTAGTCCTCTAAAAAATCTAAGAGCGCCTTTATCCAGGTCTCATGAGTCGGACCACGAGAGTGGGTACTCCCCAACCACCCAGACACCTGTTATCGGCATCGTGTCCAGGTCCCATGGACGATTACCTTTCAACGCCGGCAGTGCTCTCAGACACCATGGTCTCTCACCATGTGGATGACTAATCAAGGCCGGAGAGCCCAGGAGCCTCGGAGGGTGAAGCAGGGTGCGCCCTTACCCAAATGGAGAAAATTATGAGAGATCTTCAGGTGATCACCACCTCCATGTTTACTAAAGCTGACGCTGGTGTACTGGAGACCTCGCTGAAGCATACTATCAAGGCGAAACTGACCGCAATACTCCAGGATCTCATGGCCCCGCAAGACCGGGTCTCAGCTTTGGAAACGGCCGCATGTTTAGTAAACAAATTTACTAAACATGACCGTTCTCCTCCTCCTGTCCTTGTGGAAGATCATGAGGAATATATTCAGTCCATTGTTGATTCTCATTTCTCCAGAGGTGTTCTGCAATATCTGGTGCATTGGAGAGGTTATGGCCCTGAGGAACGTTCGTGGGTGGAAGTTTCATGATGTCCATGCTCTGCGCTTGCTCTGGGCTTTCCATGCCCGTTTCCCTCATCGTCCGGGTGGTTTCCGCCTTGTGGACGGTCGTGAAGCGGGGGTAATCTAAGGAATCCTATGCCAATCAGCTGTTCCTCCGATCGAGCAGACCGCCTCCTTCAGTCTTCCTACCCAATCGGATAGTCTCCTAGACACCGGCCGCTGTGTGCACGCCCCTTTTTATGATGCATTGCGTGCCGACGTCAGACAAGGGGCAGTACTATGGGTGGGATTTACACACACCCTTTTACATTTTGGGGGCATGACTACATCAATCACATCCACTGACATATAAAAACTCACTTGACCAATGTTTCAGTGCCCTGTTGTGGTTTCTAGCTTGCTAGTATCCCAAGAGACTATCCTCTTTTATTACCTACAGTCCAGCCATTCTAAGGTCCGGTTTAGATAATATTCCTTTTTCTATCGGAGAGTTAATATTCTGTGTGTTGGGTCACTCAGTATTCGTGACATGCTCAAAGAAAACTGCCCTGAACCGCGCCATCTCCATCCTGTACCGCTTGCTTCCCCCGAAATTCCAGACCGCATGGGAGGAATCTTTAAAGACGACATTTTCAATGTACAATCACCTCGGCTCTCGCTGCGCGAAATGCCAAGAGATAAATTATAAGATACTTATGCTCTAGTACGACACACCCCAGAAAATCCATAAATACAACCCGGAAGTGCCGGACTCCTGTTGGAGATGTGGAACCACAGTAGGCTCACTTGTACGTATCTTCTGGGAATGCCCGCCCCTGGTCCCATACTGGAGGAAGATTTTCGACACCGTAGCACGGGTGGCAGAGGAGGGAGTGAATGTCATTCCCACTAAGATGTTGCTGAGCAAATCAAACCTGTCAGTCTTATAGTACAAAAAAATCGCTCTCGAGGCACCTGCTTACAGCAGCTAGATCACTGATCCCACTGCATTGGCGGAGTAAAAAACCCCCGTCATTTCAGGAGTGGCTGGGGAGGGTTGAAGAGATACGACAAGACAAAGAGGAGGTGGCAATGGTGGGGGAAAGATTAGACAAATCCAAAGAGATCGGGAGACCGTGGACATACTATTTATGCACCAGGGAATAAGGTGCACAGGGTGCCTAGAGTCCACCACAGAAAACCGGACGCAGATGGGTCCCGTGGTCTAGTAGTGGTGGGGCACGACAACGTAATGACAATGAAATGGCAGACACCAATTCCAAACTAGGCACAAGGGCACTCTCTTTCGCCCTTTCGCCACGCACCCACAGGGGCTCGCAACAAATACACCTCTTCCTCTCCTTTTTTTTTCCCCTTCCTTCCTCTTCACTCCCTCTCTCTCCTTTTCTTTCCCTCTTTATCTTGTCTTTGTCTTTCTCACCTCGCTACAACTAACCTATCCTTTTCTTCTCCATTTTTCACTCCAACGTTTCTTTGGACTCAGTCATCAAGTCTGCATGGCCAAATCATATTAGGTACGCTTACGACACATATATGCCTGACAGGGGGTGGGTTCTAACATGGGAGGGAGGATAGGGTTATACGCTTATACAAGTGAGTCAGGTGGGGTGGGTGTCTCCCTCCTTGGATGCCTCACACCTAGATATACTACCCCTCTCACCACGGCTTATTATCATACACCGGAGTGGAGCGTCAGGCCCATCACGGGCAAGGAGACTCACTAGGAACAAACATCCAGACTATAGCAGCATGGCCCACCACAGATAGGGAGACAGGAAGCCCCAGTAGGACACATACTCAGGGCCATCAGACCATACATAGACCCACTAACAATAGTCTGCCACACTACATATACATACAATATAAGGTGGAGTCTCTTCTTATTATAGCAAATTTTCTGTATCTCTAGAAAACAGAGAAAAATAGAGCATACAATATTGTCTGTTCAATAAAGAAGTTTTTAATAGAGTGGGAGGAATATCACTCACAAATGTAGAGCCTCTGAATAGGGCTCAATTTTCCAAAATTTGCACCAAAGACTCTTTGCACCAAAGATTCTACTCACCATTTACCTTCAACTTGTAAGGTCTTGTAATTTTACATCTTATTCATTTTTTTTTAATACTTGTTATATTATTGTGCACCTTTAATAAAGCACTTTGGAAACAACTACCTGTCCCCAAGAGGCATACTTGGCTACCAGCTATATAAAGAAGGCAGTGGGAACCTTATATCCCACAATACTGGAAAATTGAGCCTGTTCAGAGGCTCTACATTTGTGAGTGATATTCCTCCCACTCTATCAAAAACTTCTTTATTGAACAGACAATATTGCACTATCATATGCTCTATTTTTCTCTGTTTTCTAGAGATACGGAAAATTTGCTATAATAAGAAGAGACTCCACATTATATTGTATGTATTTGTATTTGTTGTGAGGTGAAAGGGACTCTCACTAAGGTGTTTTGAGGACTTTTTATTATTGTGTGTCTTACTATAATTCTATCAAATTGTTTTGTGCCACACTACATACGCTGATGAGGATTACTCAACATAGACAACACCCAATACCGAGGCAACGCACAAGGTGTCTACATGAACGGAGAGAGGGGGTACGCCCGTCAGATGCCAAATTCAGTACATATCTGGCCTACAGCTTATGTTGAAGACTAACCGAGATTTGGGCACAGCTCTGCTGACTCTCTCTCAGACAGTACTGATTAACAATCACTTAGGATGTGACTTCCTGGGTAAAGGTGGTAATTAGGCGACTTGGCACCTGGCTAAATTTAATTATTAGCGCATAATGTCTCTTAACTGCTGTCGGAGCTAGAAGCTTCTCTGTTATCACACGTTAAAGAATCCTAGCTAACTTGTTAATGAACAAATGTCTGCAATGCATCGTATATCTCCTATCAACCTGTTACTGCTTATCTATATTTTCTCCTTGAAAAACTAATAGAAAGAAAGATTGTCCAAAAAAAAAAAAAAGAAGCACATTCTTGGAAAAAGATTATTGCCCTGAATTTACCAGGCAGATGGTCAGTGTTGGATATTTCTTTATTTTATTGTTTCATTTTAATGCATCACCCATATAAGAAGCCTACATGATTTGTTAAATTCAGGTGTTTCTTTAAGTAAGATTGTACATGTGTTCAGGAATTCAGAGGCCATTTACATAGTTACATAGTTACATAGCTGAAAAGAGACTTGAGTCCATCAAGTTCAGCCTTCCTCACAAATGTTGTTGCTGTTGATCCAAAAGAAGGCAAAAAAACCTAGTCTGAAGCGCTTCCAATTTTGCCACAAACTAGGAAAAAATGCCTTCTTGACCCCAAAATAGCAGTTAGATGTCTCCTTGGATCAAGCAGCTATTACCCCACTAATAAGAAATTATATCCCTGTATGTTATGTTTTTGTAAGTATTTATCCAATTGCAATTTAAACCTCTGTAGTGACTCTGACAAAACCACCTCTTCAGGCAGAGAATTCCATATCCTTATTGCTCTTACTGTAAAAAAACCTTTTTTTTGCCTTAGATTAAATCTCCTTTCTTCCAGCCTAAATGTGTGACCTCGTGTCCTATGTATAGCCCTGTTTATGAATAGATTTCCAGGGCTATACATTTAAAATATGCATGTCAGTACCGCCGGGTGGCCGGTCCGGCAGCACACTCTGAGGTGATTACTCACCTTGCGGCCGGCAGCCCCATCTCCTGTGCTGACAGCTATGCTGCTGTCAGTATCAGTGAGTGTGCCGGGTGGCCGCCTAAGCGATCCGGCTGCACACTCACTGATACTGACAGCAGCATAGCTGTCAGCACAGGAGGACTGAGGGAGGGGGCGGAGCTAACTACCATGCTCCCTCATGGTTCCCATAATTCCCAGCATCTATACATCATAGAGTAGTGGGAATTATGGGAACCGCGAGGGAGCATGGTAGTTAGCTCCGCCCCCTCCCTCAGCCCTCCTGTAACAAGGTCAGCAGGCACACCGGAAAATAGGAGAAGAGGAAGGAGGGAAGGAGGGAAGGGGAAGGGGGGGACAAAAAGAGGGGAAGGGGGGACAAATAGAGGGGTAATAGAAACACAGGTGAAGGGGGGACACAGAGACTGAGGGGTAATAGAAGCACAGGGGAAGGGACGACACAGAGACTGAGGGGTAATAGAGAGACACCAGGTTGGGACGACGACACAGAGACTGAGGGGTAATAGAGAGACACCAGGTGGGGGGGTGGGACAAAGAGACAGAGGGGTAATAGAGTCAAGGGGACACATAGACAGATGGGGTACAAAGAGGACAGGGGATGGGGGGACAAAGAGAGGGTTGGGAAGAGAGAGACACCAGGAATGGGGGGGACAAAGAGACAGAGGGGTAATAGAGAGACAGGGGATGAGGGACAAAGAGAGGGGTAATAGAGAGACACAGGAGAAGTGGGGACACAGAGACAGAGGGGTAATAGAGAGGCATAGGGGTTGGGGGGACAAATAGAGGGGTAATAGAGAGACACAGGAGAAGGGGGGACACAGAGACAGATGGGGTAAGAGAGAGACACCAGGGAAGGGGGGGCAAAGAGACAGAGGGGTAATAGAGAGACACAGGGGATGGGGGTACAAAGAGACAGAAGGGTAAGAGAGAGACACAGGGAGGAGATGGGGAAGAGAGACACAGGGAGGAGAGGGGACAAAGAGACATACAGTAGGGAAGGGGAACAAAGTTACACAAGATTTGTGGGAGGCAACGCTGGGCTGGGAAAAAAGAGACAGAGAGTGGCTGGGAGAAGAGAAAGAGGCACACAGAGTCTGGAGTTAGAAAGAGACACACAGATGAGATTTGGAAGGGGAGAAAGAGACAAAGTGGCTGGGGCTAAGAACAACACAAAAGGGGCTGGGGAAAGAGAAATACAGAGGCTGGAGAAGGGTAAAAAGAAACACACAGGGGCTGGGATGAAGTAAAAGATGCACAAGGGTCGCTGTAAGAGAAAAAAAGGAGACAATTGGAGACAAAATACACTAAACGAGGTAAGGTAATAGACATAAATTGACGTGATCCTGACAGTAATACACATATATATATATGCACGTATATTGATGTGTGTATTGGTAACATATAATTATGCCTATAATATTTACACATATAGTAATATACATTTATATATGCATAATACACACATAAATGTCATTAATATGTATTAAGGCCGTTTGGCCTGTATTTGTGGGGGGGGGGGCTTAAATTAATTCACTCCCCAATATAAGGGACACCCCTTACCTGGGTCATCCAGACGCCATTTTACCTGATTACTCCATGAGGTTTTCTAAGCTGAGCTGTGTCAGGAATCCAGCCACAGGCATTTCCGCCTACCACCTTCTTTCTTCAATGGTGTCCATCAGTCCCACGGCACCATGCACGGGTCAGGTCCTCACTTTACAGGCTGCATTTTGTCTAAATCGGTTCTAAAACCATTGCATGTTCATGCATATCATTCGTTTAAATTCACTTGTTTATATCTGTCACTGGCTCATTTGGAGCATTAGCATACTCCCGAGCGAGAACACATTCTGTTTCAATTGCCTAAACATACTAGGCAATTCTGTGTGTGCATTTCGAATCTCACTGCTCGTTTCGTTTTGTTTCCCTGACATACCAGGCTCACGGTTCGTGCAATTTTCTACCAAACGGGTACTAGTTCATGCATTTACTATTGTACTACACACACGTTTCATGTGTTTACAACCCATGAACAGAACTTTGGTTTGTTACAATGACTGTTAGCTATTATGTTCACTTATTGTATATTGTCAAACGGGCACTGTTTGTTTCACAACTATAATGCTGGGGCATAGCTCAAAAACAATGTTTCACATAAACCACACTGACCCCTACAGGTCACTCTCAAAATCTCACGTTAACCTTGCATTTGGATTAACCCCTTAAGGACCAAACTCTAGAAAAAATGATGTCACACATGTCATGTATCCTTCAGGGGTTAAAGGGTATTTTACCATACAATCAGCATTTCTGACCCCTACTGGTCAACAGCAAAACTGTCTTCACATGTCATATACAATTACCAGCCAATATAAATTACACATAAGATTGTTTTAAACATAACCATAAACCATGAATTAAACTCCAACACGGGCTCAACTTCAGGTTTAATTCACAATAATTTACATTTCACATTAAGACCAACAGTGGTTCTATCAACACTGCCACCTACAGGTCTGTCAAGTACATTGACAATTTTCATGGGGTTTTACAAACACCAAAACACTGACCCCTATAGGTCAACAGACAAACAACATTTCACATACCAATCAGTATCAACTACACTGCCACCTATAGGGCACTCAGCAGATCTCCAGTGCACTTGCATTTTGCAACTCCATGTTCACTTGCCATTCAATAAGGCATACAACAATTCACATAGCAAGCAGTATATCAATATCTGTTATAAATACACATATTATTACACAGTAGCACACGCATCTGTATATACGTAACTGGTAATATGGTTCACATACATACGGCACTTAATGGGTTAAGATTGATACATATTTAACCAGTATGGATATGATGTTTAATATTTACATATCACGGCACTTTACTTTCACATATACTGTATGTTTTAAGATAAGCTTGGTCTATGCCATATTTCCTTATGCCATACGATTTTATCCATTCAGGTTACAGTTACTACTAAAAAACCTATAAGGATTGTCAGGTTCAATACCATACTACCAGGTACGTACACCTGCTCACGTAGTTATCCATCTCTTACCTTCCCTGGAATAGTAATAGTGTACCGGCAATTAGGGTTCTAGGGCCCAATAGGTATTACCCCCTTTTTTCTCTGCATTATGCTTCAGTTAGTGGTCCCGTGAGGCCAACACCCCGCCTCACACTCGGAGGCATACACCCCTCGGGCCACTCGTGAGCTAGCCGCCTCGCATTGTATCATAGAGAGGGCCTCACCTGTCACTCCCCTTCCTATTTTTCTGGTTACTGTCACCGAGAGGCCAACATCCTGCCACAACGTTCGGTGGCCACACAAAATCCCCTCGCGCCAAGCATAGATAGAGCCTCTCAAGCCACTTGGCAACTAGCAGGGCCTCACCAGTCACCAAAAAACACCAAGCCTAATCGTTTCGCCTTACGGCTTAGCTAGCAAGCCGGTACAAGACCCCTGGGTACAAATATATAATTGCAATCTTTATTGTTATTTAAGTATTTCTCAAAAAGATGGTAAAGAATCACCTCTTCCTAGCACCACGGCTAGAAGTGATACACCTTCATCTCTTACCTTTCCTGGAATAGTAGTAATGTACTGGCAATTAGGGTTCTATGGCCCAATAGGTATTACCCCCTGTTTCTCTGCTTTACGCTTCGGTTAGTGGTCCCGCGAGGCCAACACCCTTCCTCACACTCGGAGGCAAACACCCCTCGGGCCACTCGTGAGCTAGCCGCCTCGCATTGTATCATAGAGAGGGCCTCACCTGTCACTCCCCCTCCTATTTTCTGGTTACTGTCACCGAGAGGCCAACATCCTGCCACAACGTTCGGTGGCCACAAAAAAAAAATTTCCCTCACCAGTCACCAAAAAACACCAAGCCTAATCGTTTCGCCTTACGGCTTAGCTAGCAAGCCAGTACAAGACCCCTGGGTACAAATAATAATTGCAATCTTTATTGTTATTTAAGTATTTCTCAAAAAGATGGTGAAGAATCACCTCTTCCTGGCACCCCGGCTAGAAGTGATACACCTTCAAGCAGAGGAGATGTGGCTCCAACCTAAGGAGGCGACAAATACCCTACCCTGCCACAGCAAGGAAAGCAGAGTTATTCAAACTCCTCCATACATCAATGGACAACACGGAGGCAGGGGAAGGCCCAGCAACACCAACTCAGGTGACACCTAGGCCATGCTAGCCTCACTCATAAACTCATGAGCCAAAAATTTACGACAGACTGGCAATTTCGAGTCAGTCACAGCCCTCACAAGGCTGGGCCTCACGCTACTGTACAACCAGCACCAACCGAAACTCGGTTACTTGGTACAAGACGTTAACCCTGCACATATGATCCCGGCATATTGGGGAAACAAGGCATATATATGTATGATGATGTATCTATGATGGTCAGACCCAGGGATTCTAGGTAAATCGGGAACTGACCATCCCTTGGTTGTGTTGGCATTTGGAATATGTAGAGATGCTTATTTGTGCAGGTACCCATACAGAAGGGATTTTCTCCCAAACAAACGGGTGAGCACTCTCAGGCTCCAGGTACCAGCACCTCTGAACTACCAGAGACAATTGGTATTAGTAGTTGCACTGCATATAGACTGTTGTATATATGTTCAAATCATTCAGGGCACATGACAAACCATGTGTCCCAATACAACTTACAAATAATGTACTCACCATCTGTACACACCAATGCATTTTCAACACTACTGACTCATCACCCTTCCAGACTTGTAGTAGAGTTACTAAGGCTCTGGAGCTTCAAAGGGCTCCCATACAGGTATCATAAATAAACTCTCAAGGAATATAGCATGCCCTCACTTACAGTCAGCACAACAGAACTGTCGGCTGTAAACACACTCATAGCCAAGATTTGCAGAGGGGGTTTTACTTGGGTTTTCCAATCTCCACCATTTACAGCATGGCACCAAACACAAATGCATTGGTATTGTCACAAGGGAATCTTCCCTTAAACAAAGACTAACCATAGACTTATTGGCACCACACACCTTCGCTACCCCAAGTCTCAACTCCCCCATACCCTCTGAGGAGTTTCCTTACTATACACACCATTGATCTACCTTTACAGCTATCACTCAAGCAGGGGTTGAAGCTTCGTTAAGTAAGACCAATATCATCAACACAGTAAACGGCTATCATCTACCCTACAAACTGGCACTTACATGGCATAAAATGGGCAA